CTGTTCGCAACTCTTTCTACACTTTATCACTGGAATATGTCATTTCAAATCTGTAAAATACGGTTTCACCTAATCCCCGTTTATAGTTAATTGGACTGAAGCTACTGCAACTAAAGTAGTTACCATTCCACGGGCTCTTTCCTTAAATGAACCTCTTCGGAGCGTGTCATCTATCCTACGTTGTACAGCAATATACATAAAGTTGGAATTTCTATCATTTTCTCATTTTATAGTAAATTTATTATTGCTATCAGCGTTATTCAAACGTTCTAACAAAGGAGATCCATACAATAAACCATTAAAAATATCAAAAGTTTTGCCAACGTACATGGTGTAGAACATTACCTTACTGATTACATCTTTAATTTATGTATTTCCTAGAGTGGCTGCGAAGACCCACCAATATGAAGCCTAGAGGACCCCCTATAGCTACGCCATCAGTTTGTCGGTAAAGCTTACTGTTAATTCGGAACTGAATATCCTTGGTACACTTAAATAGGTAGCGAACACCTGAATACTGGTACTGGCATGGGTAGAAGACATTGATGCTGGTATATGATATCCATAGTTTCTTGAAGAGGTTCGTTTGTACGTCAGGCAGCTATATGAAATGACACCATGAAACTCTTTGAAGCTTCATTTTAATTCAGATTTTCGGTTATCCGAAAGGAGCGTTTAAGACTATGTGCAATCAATTGGCGAAAAAATCCGGTCCAGTTTCTAATTCAACCAACTTTTCTAGTTTGTAATGAGGTGAATTAACCATGGATAGAATGGATCTGAGTGGAGTACTCTGCTTATGTATCTTCAGTAATCTATACCTATAGGGCAGATGAGACACTCAGGACTTCAGATCGTTATATGGAGAACTATCAGTTAGTTTCTTTATTAGAAATTAATTCAACATCTTCGTGATTCGCTTTTCTGTCACATCAGTCAAATCCTTCTGGCAATTATCAATTTGAATTTCAGTGGGTCTTGAAGAATTGAATTCATCGTAACAATATAATCATCCTTATTCATTATTACAACACCAGAACCTTTATCTGGTTTCAATATTACTATTTGATCGTTATCCCTCAGATTTCTTAATGCTGCCTGGCGTTCTCTAGGCCATGAAGTTGATGAAATACAATACTGGTTTGTAATATCGATCAATCTAGCCTTGAACCAAGCCTACCTACCTTACTCAATGTATTTAAATCTATCAGTTGTTTGGATAAATTCGCAAACTTAGCCTCCACATCAATTTTATTAGTGAGTTTCCTTGAGATAGGACACTTTAATCCCAGTAATAGTGCTTTAGACTCAACTTTACACTGGAAAGATTACAAATGTTTTGAGCGAGATTTTCTGGAAGGTTTTCATGCACCTGCTCTTCGTCAACATCTTATGTAAATTCTCACAAGTCTTGCCTTAGAGATCATGTATGAAGTTGAAGAATTTTATCCAGCATACAATGTTCAAATCGCTGACTACCTCACAGCCATTAGCTTCAGTCCCAAAATTTTTCTTCTTCTTCGTTTATGAAATCCTTGGAGTTGACTCAACTTTAGTCAACAGTGAAGATGAGGATTTTACGTCACTGAATATCAATAAAGCCTGTTATTGTTAACTCATTGAATAGAAAATCATAAATTTACGAAATAGTTGTATTCAAAATCAAAGGTCAACTCCTTGCGTTTCAGTTTTGTAGTCCAATACCGTCCCTTTGAAGGAAACAGTAGTTAAATACCCTGTCCGAAGATACAGATTCAACACTATCTGTAGAAGTAGAAATATACTGGCTCCTTTCCCATCTTTTTATCATCAATAGTAGAATAATGAATATTTAACGCATGCAAAGTTTTATCTCAATCAGATCTTTTATTCACTAGTGATTATTTTGTTTCCTTTGTTTTGCATTCTGATCAACATGATTACACGGTAAACTGGACATCAACTTGATATTCACTTCGTTGGGCTTTTGATATTTCCTATCCTCTGAGAGTCAAAGTATCAAGTATTGAGCTGAAGTATCGAATCTAGTATCTAGTTAATGAGACATCATTAGAGTGTTTCTGCTTATGTACTTAACAGTTACAATAAACCCATATAACCATTATTTTAGCATTTATATTTCTCAGTGAATGAAAAACAAAGTAAGGTTGTTCTTATCAACTGCTTGCTACTTATTGCTAATACTTTGACCAAAGTTATGGTATACCAAATTTTACAATATCCAAGCATATATTTGACAACTTGATCTGAGATCTTCTGGGTGGATGATTCTTTACTGTCGAATCGTTGAAAAAGATGACCACCAAACTTAGTGTGTAAATTGGAGATAAAAGTCTACATGTACTCATAGTTGCTACCCCATGTCTGTTGGTTATGTAAGTATGTGGGAGTACGGTTGGAACTAGGTCAAGCTAAGTTGTATTTCTTCTTTCCCATTTAGACAATCCTGATCAAGCTTCATGTGAACAGACTCTGCTATGAGACCTTCCTTACAATTTCGAAAGCCTTACTGAATAACTTCGATAGTGTGAAAATCAACCATTCAACTTGAAAGTGAAATATGTAGAGCTACAGCTGAAGTGCTCTCAAGCTTTTTGAGCACTATTGGGTTGCGTGGAGACCCTCCACTGTTCTTTTCTCTCTTTTATTTCACATGAAGTTTTCGTTACGTTTACTGCATCGCAGTCTGAACGTTTTACGCTATAAACACGATTAGATCAGAAATCCTGTGAAGTATTGTGCTTTATATGGACTACAGTGCTCTATAATGTGTTTGACGCTCTGTAAAGACTCTGATATTACATTTGATGCGTACTCTTATAATCTCATCTGAGGTATGTGGTGTGTATGGGATGACTATTGCTGTGGTTCACGATTTAGGACTTTTCCCGTCTAATACAACACTGCTTTCCATTTTGCGAACGAATCTTGCCGGATAATTAATTATTCACTTTAAAGATCTTGTGTACATGCTTCAACTTTAGAAGCATACGTCAATCTGAGCTACCTTCGTCGCTGTTAGTTTGACCGTAAAACATCGGGTTTACAACCATTCATTGTTTCCTAGCCCTGGAACTGGATGGAAGAAGCGCCGGGATGGTCAGTGTATGACGTGGTGCTCTGAGATGAGGGATAGTTGTGTCGGGTTAACATCTGTTGATGCATCACAACACCCTGCGTGGGGTCCAAGAGATCATATAACTCAATGGTTTGAGATGTTATCAGATATGGCTTGAAATCGAAGCCAATGGTGGTCGTGGTGTAGCTTCCTTCTATCATCTGCTGCTGAAAAGTGGTGTGTTTCTCTTTCTTACTTATCAGCTTCCCTTCGCTTTGTGCCTTCACAATGTTGTTATATTATTTTGTTTTGTTCATTTTTTGGTGCCCTTGCTGTACCATGTTTGTGTTCTATGAATATAAATTAATCATACTTTAGCTCCTTTGCTTTTCCATGTTCATCCGTTATTAGTTTGCGCACTCCCGAAAAGACTGAAGTCAATAGAGACCTTCGCACTAATGCGGTGGTGATGAATTGAAATCTAAATATTTATCCACGTCTATTAGTTTAGTAATAATATCTAGGTTTTCATCAATTGGAATCCTCCCATACAATGACTTACTATCATAGCTTACCATAACTTCATCTCCAATTTTGAGTGAAGAAATTTCGTAGCGAAAGTCAAACGGATCCCTAATTGGGTAATACATATGCCAAAATACTGAACGATTGATTTTGCAAACAATAAATTCTCAATTTGTTTTGCATATCAATAAAAACAGTATAACATTTTATAAACGTTTGTTTTGAAGGACTATGCTTCAATCACTTTTTTCATAACATCTCGTAAGTGTAGCTCTTGCTTATAAACTCGTTCTCGAGGATCAACAGCTAGAAATAAATCTAGTTTGGCTGAATGCTCAGTTTTAATGTCAACTGCAATTAAATTCCTTACGTCGATGATTTCACTGATCATAAAGGAACAATATAAGCTTAGCCTATTATATATCCATGATCGCAGTCATGTAAGCACCCCCACCATCGACAGTTTATTTTAATATAATATTATTGCAATATAATCTAGAACTCGTTATCAAATAGAACATCAAGTAGACTATGACAGCTAGGAACAGGTTGCCATCACGAGAGTACAACTCTTCTGAAGGATCATTCATTGATCGTTTGGTCGGAGATCGAATAGATACGGTAGAGAAGCAAAGATATGAAGTGTTCTTAAGACTGCTGGTTTTTGAGACGAGTTTCCTCATCAAAAGTCTCCCCTGCGGATAAAAAGGCTCATGTACACCAAGAAATCAGGGTTTTCTCATTCTCCAAAGCGGATCCTCCAAGTTTAACGATCGAGTTTATCAGTCATACTTTTCAATCGCGGATATTTACTAAATAAAAGTTAATAGATTAATAGGAAGCGGACTTATATGAAATCAGCATTTTAAGTCATCAGCCTTTAGGGTAGAAGTTTTGGATTTCAACCTTGTTTCATGTTATTGTGTGGGCAGGGAAAACCTAATTGGACAATTTTGTCCTTCAGCTGACCAACCAAAATAAGTATCCAACTTCTGACCTACTGGCTTTATTTTCTGAGGAAAAACTGTATATAAATGATGTGCTTTTTGTCAAATGAAGTTGTCTTCTTTATAGTCACAGGCCCGGTTTTGTCTTCTGACTTTCGCTACTCAGAGAAGTACCAGGTGTGAGAGTTAGTAGCGTTTCTGTTATTTCGTATTATTGTTAGTCACTTCCACTTGGTCACTTCATAGATTTTATAGTGTAATACTTCACTTTTGAATACACAAGTAACAATTGATTGTCAATAACGCAACACAACGATTTACCCAAATAGAGGAAAAGAGAAAACCCAAACGCACAATAAATGTGGATGCATCTGAAAAAAAGAACTTATGTACAACATGAATTCACAAACTATTTACAATAAATACCAAATGTTCAACCTTAACTGTATTAAAAGAAAAATAATACCTTGTCAGTAATCTGCAGAAGACAAAAAGTCCTTCCGACCTAAATTAACAGCAGCCTTATTCTGCATAGCTTCCAATTTCGGACAATGTGTAATACGATGGCCTAAACCACCACAATAAGCACAGCCAACTTCACCACCCATTTCAAGTTCAGCCTCCGTAGCTGAGGCCAATTCAACAAGAAATTCAGGTACTGGTTGATTTGCTTCTATGAGTAAATGCTTCAAATCTAGGAGAGTAGACTCATCAACTGATTTATTGATGAAGGTTGTAGCTAAACCCCGTTGATGACCACGACCAGTACGACCAATGCGATGGACTAAAATAGACACAGTAAACACAAAGAAAATCAAAGCCACCTGAATGAGTAACAGCAACTACTAACAAGGCACAATTGTAGTCAGCTTTGAAAGCAGATATTTAAAATAAATCTCGGGTAATCACAGGAAAATCTTATTTGTTTCACAAACGAGCTTTCGTTCAACCTTGATGACGACAGATAAGCAGATCCAAAGTTTATTCCAAATTTGGATCTCAAGGCCCATATGTGTTACTAACACATCTATTATTATTATTATTATTATTATTATTATTATTAGTAGTAGTAGTAGTAGTAGTAGTAGTAGTAGTAGCAGTAGTAGTATTTGTCCCTTAGGTTCCCAGTGGAATACAGGGCTTCAGTAGCACGTCTCCATTTCACTCTCTTCTATAAAATCTTTTCAACGTGGCTCCACAACTCCCCACAAGCTTTCATTCCATTATCACACCATCTACTCCATGTCACCCTCGGACGCCCAACTCGTCGTTTCCCCTTTGGATTCCACTCGACGGCCTGGCACATGATGTCCCCCAAATGGTCTTTTCAGTGTATACCCAATCCAATCCATCTCCACTTTCTTCTGTATATTCGTCGGGTGATAGGTTGTTGGTTGGTTCGTTGCCAGCCAGAATGAGTTCCTTGTTGCTTATTCTTTCTGGTCATCTGATCTTCAGTATCCAGCGAGCTCACGAAGCTGTTGATAAATGTCTGTAGTTTGTTGGAGATGCTTTTCTTAACGCGCCAAGTCTCTCAGCCATCATATAGAAGTACTGACTTCACATTGATGTTGAAAATCCGGATCTCGTTCACGCTTTATGCTGAGTGCAGTACAGTAGATCTTCAAACTGGTTTCAGGTTAATGAAGGCTTGTCTTGCTTTTCTGATCCTAGGTTAGACGTCTTCATCTGTGCCTGAGCCCCTGCCTGTAGTTGAAACGATGCTGCCTTGACTAGGTAGGTGAAAGAGACAACTTCCTTTAGATTTCTCCAGTTCATCATGACTGGTGCTTGTTGTTGTTGATGTTGTTGGTTGGGTAACTTCATCAGCTCTATCTTCTCTACGTTCGCTCGAAGTCCCGTCTTCGCTGCCTCGCCTCTTCTGTCAACTTGTTGGTTTTTGCCTGTAGATCTTCGAGTTTGTGTCTCAAGACATTAGACATAAACCATCATCGGCGAAATCAAAATCTTCTAAGGTCTTTTCGTAGGTCCAGCGTTTGCCCATCTTCTCGCTCTTCACAGTTTCTTGCATGATCCAGTCAACCACAATCAGAAAGATCATCGGTGATGACAGTAGGCAGCAACCTTTTCTTACTCTTGTCTTCACTTCAAAGGCGTCACTGAACTTTCCATTGTGAATCGCTTGGCATGTGGAGTAGCTATGCCGACTACGTCTTAAAAAAACAAATGAACTGAGTTCGAACGTCCAAAAAAAACTGAGGAGTGACAATGAATATATCTCTTGAGATCAAGTTAAATTGTAGGCTATTCAAGAACGGTATAAAAAATTGCAATCTTGCAATACACTAAGTTTTCTGCTTCCGTAATTACAAAGTCTTTATCATAAGCGGCACGGAATTAGCTCCCAACTATTGTTATTTGAACAAAGTTACATTGAGAGAAGAATCAGAGGGTAATCGAAATCCACATAGATGGAACTAAAAGGACTTATTCAAAGAGCGGCTAATGGCAGTACAATCAGTATGAAGGTATTGTTGGGTTTCTCATGAAGGAAGTCAATTCATTCGGTGAGACAGCAACTTAGAATTTGTGCAGGCGGAGAAGAGATGCTGTGTCAGGACTTGTTTATAACAGACCAACTAACAAATAAAACTTGACCTTGAAAACTTGAATGCCGAAGTTGCTGGTGACAATACTTATGCCATTGTACTTTGAAGCGGTTTCGCTGGTCGTCACAGGTGAAACTCCTTCTTCATACCATCTGAGTTATCACGTCTGTGAGGTAGTAATTATAAACAGAGAACGGATTAAGATTAACACGTTTAGGTGAATAGTAAACGAACAACCAGCTGAGATATGGTCGACAAATGTTTGGTCAGTACAAAAGGCTCAGTAGAATTATATGCATGATAACCGGGTAATAAGCCACTGAAGCATATTAGATAAATACTAGCGGAACTCATTCTTCACACTACAAGATTCAAAATCTTTGGATGGGGAACACAAACAGGTACAAACGGAGGTCCGGATTTTTTCCCATGCTTAACAACCATTCTATAGAACAACAAATAGCTGACTATTAGCTCAATACTATTTCTAAGCTAAAACATTTATTACAACTAGATACAAGAACCTGCAGTTTGTTCTGTCCTGTTATATAGCCGCTCAAAGTAGAAGAGATGATCATAGGTGTCTTTACAGTATTGCTAGCATATGGTGGAATCGCTGTGTGAGTAGTGTTGAGGTCAGGCGAAAGGCAGTAGGCGAGACAGACAAGTTGATTGATGAGGTTGTGAGTCTTTAGCAATTGAGGTGGCTTAAACATATGCTACGCATGCTGAGCCACCATCCACCTTGACATACAATGCTACGAGAAGTTGGATTAGGTTGAAAGCTGTAGAGTGACCAAACTAAGAAATGACGCCAGTTCATGAAGACGACTGCTGATCGGAGCCGATTAGACTACCTAGCTGGGGTACCCGAGACGATAGCAATCAGTGGTTGACGACTCCGGCTAAAAATCGGTCGCAATAGCGTAGATGTATTCACTTGTTCTTTATATACTACTCTGAAATGTAGTAAATTGAACTGATCCACTTGGTGTGCGACGTTCTACGTTGCTTTTTTCTGTCTGCCTGGCAAAAAACTCAGAAAAAAATAGTCACCATAATGACTTAATGAATTCAAGTGAATGAAATACCTCACACATATATTCCAGGAGCAAATCGAGGATCTACAATTTCGACTGATCATTACTTATTTCCGTAATCTGATGCAAAATATGGACATCGGAATGTTCAACATGCACTTAGCATCGAAATTTCAGAAGATGAAAGGTATTTTTGTTCATGTTCGACTCTTTAACAACAGTTGAAGAATCAAATTAAGTTAGATAGTAGTAGCAAAATAAGTAATTGAGATAACAGAAATCTATAGCTCAATATAAAATTTAAAGTTGAATGGTGTACTCCAAGCTTTGGGGTTTATTCTTGGATATTTAATCACTAGGTTAGGCGACTTCATCAGTATCTACTGCTTCATAAGGTAGTAATGCAATTTAAGAAACCAAAGTTTACATCTTAAGTAATAAGCCACATCTATTACATAAGGGTTGTGACACGAATTTGTCACCGTTAGGAGGAGTCCAGTTCGAACTTGTAACCTACCAGTTGGAAACTTAATGCTTGATCTAGTGTGTCACAGCTACAAAAAGCTGGTATGAATAATTCTGGTAAGTGTGATATTCAAAATGAAGAGATACAGAGACAAAAACAATACACATTACGACAACCGAGAAACATCACTCAAATTCTAGAAGAATATAGGATGAACTAGCGTTCCTATTTGCTTATATCATGGAATTAGATACTTTCGTTTGTGCAACTAGAAGACACATGAGATATATTTTTGAAGCCTACCCAACAGAGATTCACTAGAAGAAGCCTGTTTCCGAGGTGCTTCATGCATTATTCATCGAGACTTATGGCAAACAGCGAAATACCGTATGGTAACGAAAAACTTATAGCTCCTCATAATCAAAATGTGACGACTCCACCATTCATCATCATCATCATCAAGATCAACATAGGACCAGGCAATACTGCGTAGCGCGGTCCAAGTTGCCACACCTCATATCAGCACATCAAATAACAAGGCAATAAAATCGAAGATGAAGAAAGAACGAAGCAGAAGTAGAAAGTAGTCAAAGAGAGGAAGGGAGAAGGAAAAGATGATTAGATTAAGTATAGAAGTTAAGATGAGGATAATACCTATATGCATCTGAGCCACTGACACCGGTTCTCAGCAACATCACCGAGAGTCCCCAACCACTGGATCCTCTTATCTTGTGAACCCTAACCGGTTGTCTGCATCGCCCTACATGGCTCAAACGAACAGTTAACGACTTCATGCATTGATGCCATGTTTTAATCTGGTTCCCTAAGCCCTTTTCCGGCAAACATTCTATGACGAGGCAGACAGTGGTTAAGTATGCCTAACCGCCATCATACTCCAGTATAGCAGAATTCCACCCTCAGACCTTTCAATATGGTAATGTTTAGTTTATTCACTTCTCTAACCATAACACCGTTAATAACACTGTATCATAGCATGCTGAATCTAGTAAACAACCAAATATGAAACTATACGCTACCACGGTGCCTAAGTTTAACTCTTACAAAATATAGTACTACGTTATTCATACCATCATGGTAGGTACCTATAATCTTACCATTCACCAACTAACCTTCCCGACAAGGTACAAAACTGAGGGGGGAAACTTACGAGTTAAAATAATTTGAATGAACCCATAGAGTATAAAACCTAAAGTATTATGTCAACTAACTTGATTCAGATTTTCTGTAGTACCATTTGTGTGTCTCAACTAATCAGCTTAAAATAATGAAACTGACTCCAACGAGTAGGTAATAAAGCTTAAGCGACAACAAATAATGGTCATCTTCCCCATGTTGAGCTTTATTAAGTGTATACAGCCATACCTATGTGACCCTTAAAAGATCGGGTTTCACAACCTCAAAGCACTTTTACGTAATAATTACATTTTCGATAAAGACTAATTATGTTTTTCAATGTCCATAACGCAATTCCATGCAATAAATATCATTAATACTATTCGTGTTAAACTCACCATAGTTTTCAATATCTTCTGGCATATCATAGTTGATAACATGATTAATGTCTGGAAAATCTAAGCCTTTGCTAGCTACATCTGTAGCGACTAAAACATCCCGATGATGTGCTCTAAATTCTGTGACAGCTGATACACGTTCATCTTGATCTTTACCACCATGAATACTAACCGCTTCAACACCCTTCAACAGAAGATATTCGTGTATGGCATCCACATCTTGTTTCCGTTCAGCAAAAATAATCACCTATTTTAAAAGGAAAGTGGTGATAAAAAGTCTTAAATTAAGAAAAAAACATACACGCGCTACTTATTACATTAGAAAGAATTATATAGACTAAATAGGAAATTTTTCATTCACAGTAAACTTTCAAATTCGTTTTAAGTGCACTGAAAACGAATAACAGAATGTGAAAAAAGCAATTTTTCTTCACCTGAAAAGAGTTACTCTAACGCAGTGGATGAGATTTCTATATGAGTAGATTGAGGTGACTTTAAAGGCTACCCTGGCAACAGCTTTAATAACCAATCACGTTTCGGCATGCCATCTAGAAAGGCAGTTTTCATTAAAAAAAATAGAGGCCTTATTGGTTATCTTAGCAGTCGTTAAGGTTGGAAGCCCAGAAATCATTAAGATTTATTTTTAGGAGATGATGCCACTTTTTGAACAAACAGAAAAGTGACAATGTTATTCAACTGAGATATCTTGATGCAAAATTTATCTGTCCTTTATAACATTGAACACAGGCCACTTGAGGTTCGACTATATCAAAATCATTTGTTCCAAACCAGCAGTGAAATGAGGCAGGTTTTCCGACCTCACCGATCCTCTTTGACTTTGATGTCTCAACCTCGAGAAGGTACGAGGTACGAGGTGATAAGTTAGGTCTGTAACCAAGAGAAAGACTAAACAACTTCCAGGTGGGGGTCCATGCAACAAAGCAAAATCAGTGGTTGCAGACTCCAATTAATATGACCCACAACAGATCACAACAGTATAGATGCATCTATACATTATCTTCATCTCAACCGACATATCACATTCTGTTTTTTATTTCATCCCTTCTTCATCCTCTCTTCTTCCTACTTCTGATTAAATTTTTCCTCATTTTTCTATCTTTCATCTTGCGACTCTGTATGTTGAGTTGTTGATGTGGACCGGTACACAGTATTGCCTGATCCCTTGTTGAAACCGTCTCACTAACAGAACATACTGGCTACTCAGATCACACCTAATTTAGCGGTCAGCCTCTGTAAGCATAGCACCTGTAAAGTGCTTTTACAAGACCGGCACTAATCTGTGCTCATACTCACAATCGGAGATGAACGATCGGAGGTTATCAAAAAGTTCATGTATCTGAGTAGCTGCATGAAATCTGAAATACGTGTGTCAGATCAGATTCCTGCTTGCATATCAAAAATCAAAGGGGTATATCATCATCGCGACGTAAGCGCCGCTGTAAAACGCTTGGTGTACGAGCAGTTCTACTCTACACCCAAAAAAAATGGCTTTCCCGAAATGAAACTATCCAGCGAATCTGTGAGTTTCAGCACTACTGCCTTCATTGGATTGCTCTGACAAAGCAGGAGCACTGGAGACGAGGCGCTATAGGATAAAAGACAGTTACGCTGTGTCAGCATACGCTAGTGTAACATTACTTCTTCGATGAGATCCATGTGATCATGCAACTCAATAACTTAAAGTGTTATCGCTCCGATAAAAGCTTAGAATTTAAATCAGTAGAGTTTTAGCCTTCTTATTTATTTTGTTACCACAATTTATTAACTGACGAAATATACCCATTTATTCATTAACAAGAACAAAGCATGTATCAGCGAAGAAATATTTCTTTTCAACGACTTCACTCATCATCAAGCTGTACAGTCGTATTTATAGTTAGTAAAATTATAGATAATTGCACTGAAATGTTGATCAGTCAATATGAAAAATATACAATCGGTGTAGATGGTGGTAGTTGTTCAAGTGGAAGAGATAGAAAATGGGTCATTGAAAAAGGAACGAATTGATAACAAGAGGTGAGATAAGCGACAAGTGCTGTGATAATAATAATAATAATGATAATAATAAAAACATGTACAATAGGTCAATGATTAAGGAATGAATTGATATTAAAAAGTGAAATATGGGTCAAATGTTGACAATGAAGTGAAAATTGGTGATAATAATGATAGAAGAAGAGAAGTTTACCAAAGTGAACTGAAATTGACAAAATCAACAAGATGAATTGTTAAGGCCAAGGTAGAGAAAGTGGTTTCACAAAATGTTTTTGAATGCCAAGTCCAGGTTTCTGTTCATGTATAGCTAATGCTTCAGCTATGCATAAGTGGTGGAGACGTAAACATTTGGAGTAGTTCAATTTAACTTTGTAAATTATTTTAAAGGATGAATCTCGAGGTGTTCACATATGGATGAAGTCGTCTTCCTTTGCTCACCTCTGGTAAGCCAAACCGGGTATTGTTCAGCAACACATTTTCGGAGGGCCCGCTTATAACGTCCAATATAGTCAGCTCCACAGGAGCATGTGAACTTGTAGACACACATAGATGTGAACATAAGTGGAAGCCTATCCTTCATGCATTGTCGAATCAGACGGCGGCTGGTGGATATCAATCTCAGTCTAGCAGCATTGAAGCTATTATTGATACATCTTGACAGACGATTTTTCAGCACTTCGGCTGTGGTGTCTCCTTTGAATTCTAGATTCATGGTTAAAATATTCTAAGGGACTGTAATGGGATGGGGAGTGATTCGTTTCTTCAAATTCTTATCAATAAATCTTTTAGGGTTCCGTTATTGGATAGTATTATTCTAAGAGTTTCGATTTCAGCAATTATCTGTCACTTTACTGAGTATAAATACGACTGTACAACTTGATAATGAAGTAGTTGGAAAGAAATATTTCTTCGCTGATACATGCCTTTTTCTTGTTAGTGAACAATTTATTAAGATTAAACAATGAACACTTCTTTTAATACATCTCTGAAACGGCATTTCTAGCTAACTATCATCTTAATCAGTTTAGTTTTTTCATAATGTTAATAGACTGTTTTGAGCACAACATTTCTTGATGCTCATACTATATTCATATTTTAGATACAAAAGATAAAAATAACTGACACCAAACATGTAAGTCCAGCAGATTATCTGAAACAGATGAACAGTCAAGAACTGAATGGACCGGTGACACATTTTGATGTGACCATGGTTTTTATGAAACTGAATACTATTACAATTTATTAAGTGTATCACAGTGGTTCAGCATGCCTATATACTTCAAAAGTTAGTAAGTATTTTACAACAATTCTAATGCACATCACAACCCATCTCTAATAAATCACTGCTCTAAACAAAATACATGACACCTCTTCATTGTTCATTTAATGACTGACATTTAGTATCAACCATTCTTGAAAGATAACCGTCCTGGACATTACGCTTTGATAACAAGATATTTGAAAACTAATAAATTCGCTGTTACTTCTAATGATAACAAGTAGCTGGTGCATATAGTCGAATCAAAGCAGCGTAAGACTCACTGACACTGTGATATTTTGTTAGTAAACTTCAATAACAATATTGGCTGATGGTCAGATGTTTAACGAACAAATATCTGATGTCTAGGAACATTAACATACTGAATTGCTTAAATTAGTTAGAATACTATGGACCGAAGCTGGTAAACATTTATAGTTATACAACTAATTGTTGATTAGTATGTATATGCAGAGAATGTGGAACAAGATAAACAGCTTCATATTATTGATGCTTAACAAATGGATAATTTCATCATTGAGAGAAACAGAACGACCTAAAAACCAGTTCCATATAGCAATCTAGATCACTGAATTGAATCAACCTGAATAAATTCTTCCAGAACTCGATAGTTGAACTCTGACTGAATGAATTGAATTTAAGTAACACTTCTCTTACTATCTCCTAATTTCATTCAGTAGTGTACGCTGCTTAGGTATATTTCATGCTTCGATTAACAAATAATGAATTCAATAACTTACCGGAGGTGGAGTTTTTTGTAAAGCACCAAGTAAGTGTGGAATTTTTGCTTCATGTTTCACATACTCAACTTCTTGAGTTACATTCATACTAGCTGCTCCAGCTCGGCCTACATTAACAGTGACAGGTTTTACTAAGGCAGATTTAGCAAAATTTTGTATTTTCTTTGGCATAGTAGCAGAGAATAAAAGAGTTTGACGCTGTCCCTAAAATGTATTCCAAAAAAGGAAAAATGTAAACTTGAAATAACAGCCAATTAGATATTATCTATACTTGTAATTAGCAAAACAATAATGAAAGCAACAGGATATTTTATTCACCTACGACAAACGACATTTCATCCATCTTTTTAAATCAAAATGACTGAAGGGGGATGAAATCAATGAATAAATCCACTCTAGATAAATTAGTAACCACCAAACCCAAAGCGTTTCGTTATCACAATATAAAGCTATACATGACCTAACACCCTAATGTAATCAAGTGAAAATTGTTTTAAAAGAAATCCTTTCTACTCTCAGTCACTTCATGCTTTTCATCTACAGATACAACAATCGGCAAACCTTTTTACAATTATAATATCTTATCAAAACACATACACCCAGCTGATGAGTCACTAGTTACTGTCTATCATTACCATTAAAATGAACTTACCAGCAACAATAAGAGGTTCACCCAGGAGTCCATAGTTGCCGGTCAATTCGACACAAACAACGACAGAAAATTAAGAGCTATAACATCTAAACTATACATGTTGCACAAAAAGTGGCTACTATGACCTAATAGCCTAATGGAAAATCCTTTAGGGTTTAAGGTGATGGGTTCTGGGTTCGAGTGCCGCTGGGGACAATATCACTCTAACCGGGAGAAAGGCGCATTCTGAATTCCATTGCCAGCCATTATTCATCATTACACTCAATTCGTGAAAGCTGAAAAGGGTAACTAACACTGAGGACCTCTGATCTATTGAACAGGATCTAAACTGTAACATTGTGAATTCTGTTTACCATCAATAAAGAGATATCACACCAGGAACAATCTTGTCCTGTTTTTCACCAAGGCAATATCTTCTTTTTCAAACGAAATCTAAACCTTGTTTAAAATATACATATATACATCAATAAACATCCCAATCTAAAATGAAACTGCCAGTATGAAAGAATCATTTGTCAGATCAGATGACAGTTCCACAACATAATAGTCTATTGTATGGAGAAATAACCTGATGAAATCAAATGCTGAGATTATTGTTTTTCGATATCACTGGTTTAATAATAAGTGTGGAAGAATTGACATATTAGCTACAGAACAACTTTTTGTCTTGAATACTTCTCCCAAAAATGTAAATTTAATCAACTGCTTCCTATAAAATTCTGATATGGTAATACTACAGAAATATATAAAGGTGATAAAAGAATGAGAGTAATTTTAGGAAAAAAAATATTAATTACTTTAAAATAGGAGAATATAGTTCGAACTTCCTCCTCGAAACCCATATCAATCATTCTATCTGCTTCATCCAAAACTAGATATCGACAAACTTCTAAATTGATCATTTTACGCTGTAGTAAATCTATTAAACGACCTGGTGTAGCAACTAAAATATGAACACCAGATCTTTTGAAAACTTCTGCCTGATCTTTAACAACCATACCACCAATACATAACGTAGAACGAATATATGGAAAACCGGTTTTCACTAAACCATCAACAAGACCACAAATTACTTCATGTGTTTGCCGAGCCAATTCGCGCTAAAAAAAGGAGTAAAAACAGCCGTTTATTTAAAAAAAAAATTGCTTATCAAAGTGCACCTAAAGTGTATATGTCAAGATGAGTTGTTTGCATACATTATATACATTGAAACTATTAATCTGAGAATAGACCATGAAAAATATCGGTTTCTACGAGGGTTTTCAATAAAAATATCCATGAAGTTTCGCACTTTCAGCTCTGTACTATACCTTAAGTGAAATATCTCCATGTTAAGTAAATATGGTCGACACACAATAGTAGCAAAAACAGAAAAAAACCACTTTTAGGACTACGTAAGGCTTCGCCTCATCCATGTATATAAAGTACTTCACCAATTCCAGAAAAGTTCTAACAATACTAGAACGTTTCACCAACAAAAAACTGTGATCTGCTAAGAAGGAAATCATGTTATGCCAAACAGAACACGCTTAAATTTCCTCGATATTCTTGTGTTTGTCTGCTCGAAAAATCTTTCAATAAGTCCAAAACACTGTACTTAAAAATGTATTCAAATATGTATAGAAAGTGAAGATTAGGTATGATAACTCAGTAAACGAGAAGAAACTTAGAAAAAACATATACGCTTCGTATTCAAATTATTAGGTAATGTATATACGTTCAGCGGTGTTCGACAAGGATGGATGTCAACTCTCTCTATTCTGATTTAACTTTGTCATAGACATGCTTGTGAAGAACTCTTTCTCTCTCTCCCCAATTTTAAAAGGATTGACTTTGTCGCGCCAGATTCCTAACTCGACCCAGAGTATACAAATCACAATCTTTCTAGTTGAAGACGCTGACATACAGCAGTCTTGTAAACACCTCGAGCGACATGAGAATCTTTTGGATGCACGGATACAGAGGGTTAGATTGGGAAAGGGAACCTAAACTATCTGTGATGTCGGAGCCAAACACAACTGCCTATCATGGGTCGCGTTTGCTGCACAGCAGTCTATTTTATTCTACTATATGGTTTCGAGATAAGGTCATTAGGGTGACAGATTTGAGAAGCTTTCAAGTATTCAACGACTACCGCCTTTGCAGCAGCGGTAATTCAGTTGATAAGGTCGCAAACCTTCATCATTTCACATGGCTGAGACGTATATGCTTGGTTACCCATTAACCATCGTGTAATCTAAGCTAAGCTAGGTTCAATTTGGAAAAGGTTGAAGGTGGTCAGACACTGGATCAGCTTGTGAAGTCTTTCACTCACGACTTGAGCAGTGCAGGTAAATGTAGACTTAAAAAATATATAACCAGACTGACTGTCACTAAATAGGAGAAATACAAGACGGAAAATGGTTCACCGGTTTCCGGATATACTACTGACCTGAAGCCAGAAAGAACGCACCCAAAGTTAATCAACTTCAGGAGATTAAACCAGTTTCATAATATTTATATGTTTTATATCAAGTAATGACTAAAACAAATCAAAATTTCATACTAGAAGCAATTAAATAATAACTGAAAGAGAAAAGTAAAGTTTTTAAGCAAGGAATTTAGTTAATTCAATAAGGTTAAGCACCGATCTGCTAAACAAAACAATGAACTCAAAGTTATATCTCATGTAAATGAAAAGGAATATTTTACGCAAGTATCAATTAATGATACGTAATAAAGTTAGATAAGAGTCACTTCACACAACCACACAAAAATGGGATACACATGAAGGTATGTGCATAATGTTTCTAGAGGCTACCAGTAAGTATAATCTCATAAATAATAAAAGCTTGAAGCAGACAAAGACAGAATAATTTTCACTTAAAATGAAAGACATCATTCATGATATGAAGGACTAAGTATACAGTGCCGAAAATCACCCTAATCTGATTTGTAGCCACAAAGGTTAACAGTTTTTCAAAAACATAACTTATACTTGATGTAGCAACTAGAATTACAGGGGAGATGTTCACCCGGATACCTTAGAAAGAAAAGGAAACAACTTGGAAGGATTATAAAGCAAAATAAACTAGAATACACCTGACCAATTATACATAGCTAATAGCCATTTGATTTTACTGGACTAACAGTTATAACTGGTAACCAACGTCATTCTACTCAGCTCTCAAGAAAATAATCAAATTCTTTCAATTAAGACATAGCGATATTCTCCGTTTCTTGACTTGGTGATATACAACATTGCCAGAATGAAACTTCAAATCATTGACTCCAGTAAACCTTCCTCACTTGTCGAAAACTGAAGTTCAGGATACTAGCGAGCTTTGAAAAGAAGTCTCTGTGAATAAAAACAACACACAAGACGACATTCAGGTCTTTTAACCTTTTACCAATATGGAAATAGTTCTTCATATTGTAGACCCTCAGCACTGTGAGGACCAATCTAAAAGCGGCTGTATTAATCATTGAAATGAAGTTGGCCAATAAAGCACTGGTCTCATTGAAACATTTTCTACTGAACCATCCAAATAGCCATCTCAGAAACTGCTTCCATCTTTGGTTTTAGACATATTTTTGTTGAGATGAATAATCATGAATTTTGATGAGAAACCTAGAATTAGCTTGACTTACGCACATTATCTATAAAAATTACATCAAAACTACTATAAGGTTTGCGAATCAAGCTCATTTTATTCTTTACTATATTTTTCAAAGCTGCTTCGTAGCTTTCCGATGGGAATATACTACTGATTAGTGTAAGTAGTAGGAAAGCACTTATAACGGTTTGCAAATTTTGCCAACTGAATTAAAGTGATCTGAACCACAAACGACCAATTCGGTAGTTCAAGGTCAAGTTCATCAGTCGTGTATCAGAAGAAACTCTATCGAATTGCCCACAGTTGAATCTACCTAGCTGACTTACACAAACAATATAGGATGAAATGGATTATTCAATTGATCTGAATGATTTGGTTTCGTGAAGTGAATTTTACCCAGTAAATTAATGATAAGTTAGTCTACAAACGCATTAAACGGGCGTCCAGTGCTCAGATCACTCTGATTTGGTTAGCGAAACCTGCAAACTGATATAAATAGTTTCTAACTACTGATATTACACAGTAGTATGTCGGCTATTTCAAAAACCATGCTTCGTGACATCTGAATGGTTTCCAAAAGAAACCCTGTTGAAATCACACTTCGACAGTCGGAAGATGGCACAGTTGCAAGAAACGTCGATTCGTATCATACACGGTAAATAAACTGAATATCATTCATCCGACTACTAGATGGAATTCAACATTATGGACTTAATGATACGATCAATTGGTGAGTTGACTCTTGCGCAATAACCTTATGCTTCATCTTTGAGTGTTTATTTATATAACACACAGTGATCTAGTATTATTTACTTGATGACGTTTCGAGCATAAATTATTGCTCATAATCATATAAATGTGATACTGGGTGATGATTGAAGGTGAGATGAAAATTAGGACCGCGGCCGGATCACGGCTATCTCAGATAGTCAAAATGATAATTTATATGATTCTCCCGTTCTCTAATTCAGTTAGATTACGACTGGAATGAAAAGTCCCGACTAGGCACCCAGTGTGAATACGATCAAGCCGTAGTAACGCATAACGAATTCACATGGTAGTCAGGCAAAACCCTTGGTGACTGAAGTGAAATAAAAATCTGGTCAGCAGTCGGACCTTGTAGCTTAGTTGGAACAGCATCGGGTTGGAAGCCCGGTGTTCGCTGGTTCGAATCTCGCTGCGGTCCACATTTTTATTTCACCTTTAATCATCACCCAACATATATATATATATATATATATATATATATATATATATATATATGCTACAAGGACATATCAAATGGTATGGCTTCAAATACATTCAACTTACAGATGGACCTAAGATTAAACCATAAGGACCTTCATTGGGAATGAATGGGATTTTCTGTTCTTGATCCATGGAAAATAGGATAATAGGAATAGAGAACACCATCGTTTTCCCTGATCCAGTGAATGCAATACCAATCATATCTCGACCGCTCAATACAGCTGGTAGACCTTGCATTTGAATCGGTGTGGGCTTTTTATCCCTCGAAGCTTTAGTAAATCAATTAGAGGACTTGGAAAACACATTTCACTGAAATGTCGAATTGGAGCAGGCACATCTTCACCCTCAGTTAAAATTCGATGCTTTTTGCGAATTTCCTCAGACTTCTCATTACTTTGTTCACGAATGTATACAGGTGGTACCCAGCTAAAAGATTATGATTACTTTTTTTAATTACCATACCTAGTCTGAATTGGTTTATCATATTGGATACCTTTTGCTAATTCTGCAACACCTTTTAGAGCAGTCTTTTCAGCAACACTTTCTAAAATTTTAGCTTCTTCTTTCAATTTTTTATCCCGTTCCGTTTCTTTCCTTTCTAGATTTACATTTGATTCATATAAAATGAGATATACCTTCAGCTTTTCGTTTTAGTTCCCACATTCTGTCAAATAAACTTCCTTGTGCATTAGGTCCATGATGATTATCATCTGAGGATTTTTTAACCGTGCCTTCTTCATCATCTTCAATTTGCTCAGTTGTATTGGCTATGTCTAATTCATCTTCAGGGACTTCAGTGTAAGCTAAATTTCCTAAAACACGCTGAAGTGATGTCAACTGGAAAATGGAAAATTTTATCCATATGATTATTGTGTAACTAACAGTAACATAAAAGGTTTTCAATTAAAGAATATTGAAAGGAGAATATCACAATTAATATTTTACACAAGTGAGATTATTCAACCTAAATACTTTCGTTACAGAACAGTATAATTACTACAAAATATTAAATACACTTTCCAAGAAATTACTATTTTAAGCTATGAGTTATGAATTTGTTCAATGCACAGAAGTTATCTTCACAACACACATGAAACAAAAAAGGATCCTACTGAAGTCTATGCAGTTTTGCAGGATACGAGAAACTTAAATTTGATTTCAACACGAGTTACCTGACTACACGTTCAAAAGTGGAGACAGACGAGACTTATGAATAATTATATTTCATTGTCAAAAAATGTCAAGCTATACGATATTCAAACTTTCTGATTACCGTAGGACTAACTAACTAACTAACTGACTGACTGATTGACTGACTGAAAAGATCAACGTAGAACCTCACACACAAATGCACCAGTTCATGTTGCCACACTTTACATTGGTTCACAAAGAACAGGTGGATAGAAAAGGAGTGATATCAAAGAAGGCAAAGTAGCGTGAGAGAATAAACAACCTGGACAAAAAGGTTAGTGTGAATATTCAAACTGTAAGAGATGTCAAGGAATGAACACATCTGCGCCATTGTGATCGATTTTCAGCCCAGTCACCAGTAGTCCCCAAATACTGGTCCCTTTTATCTCGGGAACCCCACTACTCAGGTAGTCTACATCTTCCAACACAGCTCAAACCAACAGTCAGGGACTTTATCGACTGGTGCCACGTCTTGATCTTCACCGTAGGACACTTAGACAGAAACATGCGTATAAAAATATTCCTCTGGTTTGGAATTAAATCATTATATGATATGACCTGAAATTAGGCGAAAGTAGTGCGATTCAGAATTGCACATCTGGATAGTGAACATTAAACTGATTATGCATACTAGCTTCGATTCTCCAACTCAGCGACCCTGGTGAATCAGAGCATAGTAGAACGATAGAAAACTGATCTTGTTCATTTGGTATTTCGGATGATGATGCGTGTATAATGTCAATTTTTTAACAAATGACCTCACAGATGAAGTAGTTAGAGAGTGACTTTATGTAACCAAATTGGAACTTTTATGCAAGGTTAGAAGTTTCTGAACCTTTTGATTTGGAATGATTGATATTTCGGCAATTCGAGGTACCACTTTTAAGAAATAAAGATACTAGAATGACTACTTGTATTATATCGTCGTTGATTGGACCGAATTGATCGGTCTCTATTGGCATATGGGCTCCTGTGCGGATGCCTCGACATTACTTGTGTTCTAATTATAGTAAAGATGGATAGTGGCTAGCAGTGGAATCCAGGATGTGCATTTCGTTCAGCTGACGAGTCCCAAATAGGACGAAATGCGCATACTGGATTCCACTGCTGGCCACTATTCATCTTTACTATAAAAAAACCAGTGTAGGCTTTTATACCATAAATTTTTTTTGATATTCTAATCAGTGAATAGGAGATCTACTTACAGAGGATCTAGTGAAACCTCAGAGTAAACAGTGCTGAAGTTATGCATAGAGATCAGGAACACAAGTCAGCTGATGACGTTGTCAGCCGTCACCGACTAAAGTAGCTTGAATGTACGTTGAGCATATCCAGCCACCTCCAGTCTCACTGTTCTATATGCCGGTCAAAGTGAAATTAAGTTAGAAGAAAGCTTTTAGTGGTCTGATTAAGACAACTTTTCGTCTGAGCTACGTACGGACGTGCATGTTTTTTATCTGGGGTCCTCAAGGTGTTACAAATTGATGAAAGAAGATAACCAATAGTATGACATCAAAACCAGACCAACATATAAGCACTTTTAGTAACCTCCTTTCATACACTTCCGTCTACTTTAATATCATTCCTGATAATAACTTTTTCTATTCACTTCGTCCTTGTGTGTTATACAGTGTGGCAACTTGAAGCGATACCCCTTTGTTCAGGGTTCTATACTGACTTGTTCATCTATCCGGCTTTTTTGGTTAACCTCATTTACTGAAATCGCTTAATACAAAAACGCAGTGATTTATGCTCGATAATATTTTTAAAAAGAAAAGAAAAACCAAATCTTAGTTATAAAGCAGGGCAACTGTAAGTTAACTACTGTAAAACATTCTCAACAGCATTACTGACAGTCTATCCTTCCTAAAATTTCAATACAATAGTCTATAACACTATTTATCCTTCAGTCTGAAATTCAGACAGAACGCTCTGTCAAGTAATTATCTGACGATCCCAGGTGCTTTTGTTCTTCCAACATCCGAAAAAAATACTAGCATATCAGATAGATGGCTTAGAAATATACATTCACTGAACATAACCTAATTCAAATGAAAATCGAACAACCTATTCACCTCACTTAGTCCGCATCACACAACTAATCATCCAGGTTCTATGCACTCCATTCCTGTCACACCATTTTGAATATGATGATTGTTCTGACCAACTTGAAATATAATTAAAAGCGGTGAAACGACCTAACTTTACGATGATCTTGCATAACAGAAATAAATCATGTTAACACTCTAGACCAATAAGACACTTGTTAAGGAAGTCGATCCGTCCTAGTTTGTTAGTTGAAAATAAACAGGAAATGGTATATCGGCTATCAATTCTAGTAAGACAGAGAAATAAAACCAACGTAGAACCTCGTACAGAATTGCATCGATTCAAGCTATCATATTTCACAGCAACACAAAGAACAGGTGGATAAAAAAAAGACCGATATCTATGTAGACGGTGTATGCGAGAAGGAATTTAAAAATGAAGGTTACTCAAAACACTCAAGCTTTGATCGATGCATTCAACAAATTAACTCCGCATCATTAAATTGAGATTAGTTATAAACCAGTCATGGGGCACCATGTTACGTTCGACAGGTGCGAGGCGCATGCTAAACATAGATTTCTGCTCAACCCCTGCGTTGAGAAGACCCTATATTTTGTTAGCGTCTTCACATAGCAGGACAATATCGTTTGAGTACTCCAAGTTAGTCAGATGACCCCTAGAGAGTATATCAATCCCTGTGAAATAAGACTTATCTATGGTTATGTCCATTGGTATATCTATAAAGAAGTTGAACAGGAACGGCGGCAAAATACATGCCTGGAAGATACTACTTTTTATAAGCCCTTAAACTGCTGCGTGAGTTCGAGTAAAGAGCTTTGATAAAAGTTAAGTACTCCCTTCTCAGTCAGACACTGCTAAAACATTTCATTGTCAAAAGAGTCAAGTGTCACCTTCAGGTCAAAAAATATAAAAAAGTGTCGGGCGCTGGTACATGATACTTCCATAAACAACAGTAGTTTTATGACAACCTTTTACTTGTGCAAGTGCAAATATTGTAGCAATATTATGAAAAGGTAAGAATAAAATCAAATTGGAACTAAGCTATGTTCCACGTTAAAAAGTATACAATTTTTCTCAACAAGACTTCATATTGCAAAGACGGATTGGAATGATCTGTAGATCTCGTAAACTATACTTTAGGGATAACATCTAACACTGAGTATACTGATTAGTCTCTGAGCCAGAGGACCGTATATTTGATTAAAATAGGATTAAAACCTGGGAACTGCGATAGGCTATAATATACTTTGTTTATTTATTAGTTTCACTGAGTGATAAGTCGAATAAACAAATAAAACGAAATGGTTAATAGCCAGTATTACTTTTATTTTGTTATTTAATAACAATAATGAATGAAAAGCCAAAATGCACGCTTATTGAATGCTCATAACTCTGTTAAGTGTCTAAATTACAGATCCTTCATGACAAAACCAGAGTGATTTCAAAGACTTAGTTTCGTAATAGATAAATTGTTAACGCCTTTACATAAGAAGGCAAGACATTAAGTTCAAAACACTGGTAATAAAGTATTAATTAATGAAGCTCTCGAAAAATACAACCATGAAAAAAACCGTTTAGGACTACCCATATAGTTATTGAACAGCATATTGGATAAGGTAAAAAGTAGTTCTATAAAATCAGTGAACTATCTCATAACAAACTTAACCATTTCTTGCCTTTCTATCGTTCTAACAAGTTTCGTTTTTACAGTGTATTCACAGTATATTTGAGTATTTAAGTATTTACATTCAATTGGTCAAAATTATAACTTGATAGAACTCTACTGGGTACAGATGATTTTGTGCTAGTCTAATATTCACACTAATTGTATGAGGGCTTATGGTGCCGCACAAATCCCCAAGTCTAATTAGGTGGAGTGGGATTTCAACCTAGGATCCACTACTTAAAAGCTTGAAATTGAGCCACGGCAGCATAAGCTACCTCAGATGTATCCCATTGCAGTTTTCTCATTTTACTATTATCTGAGTATTTCGTAGACTTAATTATCTAGCTTTATTAAGAGGTGTGTGCTAGAAATTAGTCAACATTGGGAACTGGACAATATGATATGTTACTATCTTAAAAGCGATTAGTGTATAATATCCAGACATAAAGCTTAGTCTGATCAATTCAGTAACACAATCTCTTAGCATACTACCAAGTGAAGCAGATCCCGAATTCTGATGCAGCATGACTATTCTTGATTTTGTAGATACATTTTATAAAGGGTTGCTGAAGAGAATTAAAAATAAGTACAACGCTGTTTTTGGTCACCCTGTACCACTTATACGGTCTCAATATTATGAATGTGTTGAGAATAAATTGTACAGCTGAAGAGATACATCGGTGCTTTTAAAAACTATTATTTGGTTGATTTCGACAGGATGTGACATTTTGACTATCCGGTTACTTATGTTTGGATCCCAACCATTTTCGTACTGTAGATTTCATTACAAAACATTTACAAACGCAATAGTACAACAGCAATGATGATTCATTCAGAACTTTTTTAAACCTAACATCCATCCCTGTAACCACTTAAACAGAAAATCAGACTTGTAATAACGGACTGTTTCTTCGCATACTATGCATATTGCTTGCTCAATCAAAGAATGACATGTAGGTCTTACTAAACATCACTCCTGAACGTTTACACATACTTAGTTTTGAAATAAATACAAGGATAACAACAGAATTTACACCTTGAATTCATGAAAATCAGAAGATAAAAAGTTTACCCTGAGATTTACAAAAAGATCTATTGTTCTACAGGGTTGCTGCAATATAAAATGAACAGTAATCGATTAGAACTGTGTAACCCGATATCTGAGTTTTATAGGCAGAAACACCATGCGAAACAAAGAAACTTACCTCCTGTTGTTTACGCTTCTTCACTGGCACATACGGAACATAATCATCATCCGATAAGTCCGATAATTCGTCTGATTTGTTGGTATACCGTTGCTGAAAATCAAAATATTAGGTAGATGATAACCACTTTATGTACAATATACAGCTTTACAGCAGATAATACTTGTTTGGTAAACAATAAGGGTAACATGTAAATTCTGACTGGAAAATAATAAGTATAGAACTTCATACTCAACTTAAACCAAACATTTTATGATAGCTTTGATTATACGACGCCACCGAGCTAAGTAATTCATGCTAAAAACAACGATTACTATTTTAGTGAAATAAAGTCGCGTACAAATAGTGTACGTGAACTTGATAATTAGTAGTCAAAGTGAGTAAATGTTCGTATCTCATCTCGTATTTTACCCATACTACCCACTAAGATTCACAAATATGTCGCCTAAGACTACTGTCATAGAGAATATGTGTCTTTATTAGATCACAGGTACCAGGGGATGGAGTTGGATATATGGTAAAACATAGCCCTCATAAAAAATTAGACCACATCATACATGACCAAAATACCGATGGAAGCTAATTAAAATCTTATTAAAGATTATCATGAGCCTGAAATACAACGAACATAGTATTACACCCTATCGACACACATCCTAGCAACAAATTATTTATGAATGGTCTTCCTTTTCAGTACCTTTGTGAAGCACATTAACGGTGCATTGTTAGGTGTCAAATGTAAAGTGATGAGCAAGGAGTGGTTTGCAACTACTCCCAGTGCAGTTGCTGAATGAGTCGACCAATTCACCTAATTGAGGAGCTGTATTAGACCGAGCGGGTTGGTTGGTGACGAAATCTCACTTTGAATACAGAAGCCCTGTTTGGCATTTGTTAACGTGGACTATCCGTAGTGCCGACTGGCGAGATATCCGACCACCTGTCAAAGGACGAGTGTACTGCGCTGCGACTCATTCTATCCTGATATAAGGCTCACATGGCCGTTGAAAGTACAATATATGAAGAGACTAAAGGTTCTTGACCATGTGTATCTTTCTTCCATTGCTTATGTATAGTGGAATCACTGAGCGAGAAATGCATAAATGTTAATGTTAATGTACTACGCAAGGAAGGCAAGTCAGTAGATAAGGTCTTGAACCTTCGACGAATGAAGTAGCTCGAACATATGTTGCGCATGTTGACCGACCACCTATATCGACATGCGATGCTAGGCAAAGTTGGATTAGGCTGGAACAGAGCTCAGAGCGATCAGACAAAGACATGGAATCTATTCATGAAATTTTTGACTCTTGGGCTAGACCGTGTATGGAAGCGTAAACTACCGGGATGGGGTTCCCGAGACCACTGGAATCAGTGTTTGCAGACTCCTGTTGACGGTTAAAAATCGGTCACAAAGGAGCAGATCCATTCACTATTTGAGGTCTTCTAAAGCTTGAATGCCCTGACAAACCTTTATTTTTTAAATTCCTTTTCCTCCCATACATCATCTACTTTGGTATCAATCTTTTTCTATCCACCTGTTTTTCGGATATTACTGTCATGTTGCAACTTGAACAGATGCACTCGTGTGCTAGGTCCTACGTTGATTTTGACTGTCCAGTAGTGCATGGTTATGCATAGATTTATCTAGCTAGATACCAATATCTCAGTATTTTTCTAGTATTCCAATGATATTTTACCAAAGTGCTGCTCAGACTGACTCACGAAAAGTCGCTTTTAAAATAAACACCGAAAGGATTTTCTACTGCGTAGCTCTTACAACCACTAAAACACAGATATCTACATGTTTAAAGCAGCTCGTGATTGATCTCCCAGAAAGTGTTCCAGAACGAGTAAAAATTAACCAAAATCCAATTTACCAATATTTACCGTTAATAATAAATAACATGAACAGTACTGGAACTATATGTGCGGTGAAAGCAAAAGCCTTCTTCACAAACAAGAACGGACTACAGCATATATATGTCTCCCCCTAAGCTGAACATCTCTGCAGTTTTGGTCGACGGACATAATAAAAAGTCAAATGTAGGACTTTGCGAATCCACTAAATTCGCCAACATGGTATATCCATATCTTAAAATGCTACAGATTATTTAAAAACATCAAATTACGTACTACGTAAGCAAACTATTGGACTTAGCTTGCAGGTGAAAGTAGCAACATTGAACACCAATCAATTCCTCTTAATAAATGTAATCTGCATGCAGCCGTTTTTACATCTAAGCACAGGCTTCTAACGATTCTAAGGTTTTTTGCTTCTCGTATCCAAAAGTAACCTCTTTGCTCTACATACCCAACATGTGCGAATTACACAGTTGCAGAACGTTTCGAAAGTGTGGGATTTCATAGGCCACTTCATTTTATTTGAGCTTTTAAAAACATATTCACTACTTAGTCCTAAAAACTTGGAAATCGAGTAAGTTTTACATTTCATCTGTTGTATAAACTGGCAAGGAACCTAACTTCTGACTGGTCATTTAGAAGTCACTTACAAGTTGATCTAATACGATATAATTCTTTACACCAGCTTGTGAGTTGCTTTGTGCTTGTGAATACTTTGCCCCTGACCTTAAGAGGCCAGCCCTTTCGACCGACTACAGTTTCCGCTATTACAATCCATCAAAGAAATATTTGTATTACAAACATATTACTGGTAATATTACTTTTGTACTTAGGTGTGGCATATCTCAGAGATAGTTTACCCTCCTTCTTGTATGACCACTCCATGGATTTATTTCTAAGCGTTTGCCCAGTAAATCACCCACTCTATTATTGTGACCATCTAGACAGTACAGCAGCAATGCTTAATAAGTTCGTTCGTAATTTTCAGGCTATACCTGGAATTGAAAATATGGTGTATAATGTTCACGGACTATTACACTTGTGCAATGACGTCGCAGAGCATGGTCCACTGGATTCCTCTCCTAGCTTCCCTTTGAGTCATACATACAAAACATACAGAAGCTGGTAACCAGTCCGAGCAATCCCGCTGTCCAGGTCACCAAACGGCTTGCTGAGAGGTCTCTTGTTGACAGGGAAACTTCTGTGTTTACGTATGGGAAAAGCGTATTCATAGATACCAATAAGCAAAATGCCTTTTTAAGTAGGTTTACTATTAGTATGGTATATCCAGACAAGTGTTTTACTTGGGTCGCGACCTGGGATTGTAACTCCGGTTTTGAACGACACAGTTTCTGTTTTGACGGTATTGTAATCCCAAGTCCTTTTTCATCAAACCAATAGATTCAGCAAACATTGGGATTTACTAGGTTGACAATTTTGAAGCAACTACAAGTATAGTCGATTACGCAAGAATATCGGCTAAATGTATGTGTTTGCCTTTGAATAACTATTCCGTAGTAATTCCCTCGCTTCACACCTTTCAGACGGAACTCAGTGAACGCTAGGTGTAGAAACATGGATAGTAGTTCACACATTTATAGCACAAATTATCGTTGATTTATATCCCTTCAACATTCTTCCGTACTGTATACACATCTTTTTTGACATGTATATGTGACTTTCTGTTTTACTTCTTGTGTATTTGATAAAGTTTATAAATAAAGTGTGCGCCCTGCCTCCCCTTCTCTCTCCTTTTTCAGATGTCTAATTACGCAATTGCAAAAGTACCAGCCTTAAGCACAGTAGTCATAGTACCCGAAACATGGCTTACACAAGGCCACGTTCGGATACATAAAGGCTACACGTGGTCTGACGTGAAAAACCATATCCAACCCACTGAGGGTTTTTCATCGTATAGATTTACGCCGCTGGCAACCTACCGTATTATCCTCTTGTGTTAATTAACTGTTACAGACAACATCGATAAGGCTCGCGAGGCGTATGCAGGTTTTGAAAGGCTGCATAGCAGGCCAAAAGACCTATCAACATCGGATACGGAGCCAGCTAGCGATGTGAGATGTAAGCGGTATTTCTGTTCTCAGTCGCATTGTTTGCAAGGCAAAGTACGTGAAACCAGGGTGCCTGCAGATTACCCGTCGCGACTTCTGGAAGATGGTGGCTTATATTTTAGTTCAACAGTATTCAGAAAGCCTTTTTCCAGTTCATCCCCCAGCAGGTGATATAACTTCCTAAGGTTCACTAAATTGCAGCAGCCAATCTTCATACGTTCATGATTCATCCAGTTTGCCTACTCTCAATGCCGCCCCGTAAGTTCACCTTTTACACTAACATTAGACAGGCACACCGCGAATGTCGAAGTACAAATGGATACTTCTGAATGCAGTAAAGAGTATCCCAGTGACTTATCCGAACGTTTGGATAGAATTGAAAAAATGATTGCTAGTTTCATGGAAACGAGTTCCTTGCGTAAACAGGTTGCTTCAATGGATTCTTCCGAGAAATTAAAAGCCTCCAGAAAATGGCTTATTGATAGCGACCTGCGAATGAAAGAATTCAAACGTGATATGACTGATCCAGAATATTGCAGATCTTCAGTGCTAGAGTTGTCCTGCCTTGTGGAATCGGATATTGGTGTTTCTGCTCGCTGCATAATTGGCACGCTGCTGGAACCCAACTTCAGCATGCTGTATTCGTGGTCTTCTACTCAAGACAAGCGTCACTTTAAAAAAAAGCTAATGTCTAAACTTAAGTTTCCTTTTCCACTTTATCACGTACGAAGACTTCCCTTATAACAACCACAGGCATGGAAGCGACAACAAAGAAGTAACTCCCGTTAAAATCCGGACTCATATCCAGGGGTGGTTTCATAACGCTCGCGACGTTGAAGATGAGGGAGAAAAGGTAGAAGGGAAAATGGTAAGCTTAATATGTCCCATAATACAATTATCATAGGTGACTGAATTTCCTGAAGGTAGGTAAATTGTCCCTAACTTCGTCTCAAAATACGCGGAGAGCACCCGGAGAGTGTAGACGAGATGGGCTGAAGAGAAGAATATTATGTACCCGCTACTGTTATAATATAAATTTATTTTCACACTTACATCTTGTACATGGCTTTCGGTCAGTGTGAAGCGTGTCCTCAAACTTCGGGTGCGCTTAGAAACTTTTGACATTTTCGCAGAAAAGGTTTGGAAAACATTCGGAGAATATCACCCGATATGCGCCTGTTAGGGCTCCTGCCTAAAAGTTACAAAGTGTGCCCAATGTAAATGCTGGCTGGGCTGCTCATTCTTTGAATGAGTTTAAAATCGATATTTTCCCGAAATCAAATGCTACTCTACTCAACTAGCCTTACTTACAGTCAACATTTTTGTCGGGCTTAATATGGCAATGTTGACCTACCCACCATGGAAAACGTCGGGCCAAGTATTGATTTAGGCGTGGGGTTTCACAAATTTTTCCCGATTTCGGGCCTCATATTTGACCCTAAGCCTGGTTCTGAGATCTCTTAAGTGGCCTGATGCCTGTCTTAAGGTACTGACTGTTGGCCCTACAACCAGACCCATTGGCCCGACGTTTGGCCCGGCTAAAACAGTGACCAAACGTTTAGCCCGACATGCACTACATCTGGCTTCACATCAGATTTACGGCCCAACGCTGGGCTCAACGTTACCTCATTTGGCCTCACAAAATTGATGACTAGGGCACCAACACTGATTGTCTCGACTATAATGTCAATAAAGTTCAAAACTATTTTTAAAACAAATACCAACCCTGTTCAGTTCTCTGTTCAACTTCAGGAAACACAAGTATATAAGTAGTACTTACTGAGGAAACTTACAGTCATTATAAAGAAGTAGCGTATTTTTAATTGAAGTGCATGCTCCGCGACCTTCACTATATATTGGACTGTTCTACATTCAGAACGTTCAATACCCAACATCTTTCTTACGAGCTAGTGTAAACCAATCGATTTTTTCGAGCCCACTTCTAGGTCTTGCGGAACGATTGCAGATCTCTGGTGGATTCCGACGCAGTAAGTCTACCCACTCGACTGCTGTAGCTCTGACTAGCCCGACGGGCGGTTGGGTGTTGGTTAAATTTGTGGGGAGTGTGTGGTTTTCTTCCAGGACCGTGGTGCAGATATCTTTCTTAAGTGTCGTGCCAGCAGAAAATTGGTGGGGCTGGCCGTAAAAACAAGGCGGAAAATATGCCCAGAGAAATGAAGGGGAGAAAGTACGAAGAAAGAGAAACAATGGAAAAAAACAGTGAGGTAAAAGGAAATGGAAGGGAAGGAGAAACCTCTGTAGATTCATTGGAGAAGGGTGATAAGGGGAGCTCTTATAAAAGTGTGAGAATGCAAAGTCAGTAGGAAGACAAGGGGCAAATAACGTTATATAGCGGCTTATGGAGATAAAGATGGTAACTGGAGATGTCTACAGGGAAGCATAAGGTTGAGCCAGGTCCGCGGTGACAGTGACATTACAAAGGATTACTTAATGAGTTCGCCGTACTCAGTTGTGCGGAGTAAGTGGGTTGCATCGGCCCAGTCCATGTCCCAGCTGGGCGAGCACAAGCCCTACGTTGCTGAGTAACTGTCCAGCCTCTTCTTGAAGCTGTCAGCAGAAGAAGCAGTGGCGATCTAGCCAGGCAACGTGTTCTGCAAACCGGCAGGGAGCAGAAGTGTGAAAGCATACGGGCCTTTGGCTTTTGGAGGGCGACTCTCCTCCGGTTACTGCGAGGATCGCTACAGTGGCCGTTCGGTAGGATTCCACTGTTCGGATGACTTGGATTACTTACTGTTTTATGAGTTGTCACCAAGTTACCACGTAATCTACGGTGGCTGAGAGAGTAGAGTCCTGGGTCTTTCAGTCTGCCCTCATAGGATTTTTGCCCCATTCCCACGACACCCTTTGTTGCTTGCCTCTGGACTTTCTCCAGGACGTTCACATCTCATTTCAGGTGTAGTGGTGCAGACCTCTAAGTGAAGCCGTGAGTAGGTCTTGTACAGCTTCAGGAAGAGTTCCGAAGCGGGGGTGATTAGTTGTTCGCACATGAATTCCAGTACTGCGTAGGCTCTGGAGGTATCTCATGGATAACTGGAGCTTGTGTCTCGCTTGTCAGTCAGTATTAGTCCTAGGTCTTTCCTCGCGGTGATATGAGAAAGTTGCGTTCCACAGAGAGGAACACGGCTCGCACCTATCCAGATTAAATGCTAATCAATTTATATCCGCTCACTCTGCAAGTAATCTGAGATAACTTTTCAGTGCGCTTGATTCTGTTTCGGGTGTCGCAGCTCTGCATAGCTTAACATCGTCAGCGTAAAGTAGGATTAGGGAGCTGAGATTCAGTAGAAGGTAGTTCACAAAAAGAAGGAATAGAAGCGGACCCTTGATGCTCAACCTTGTAATCTTGTGAATAATAATGGTGTGTAGGACTGTGCCAGTGGCGCCAGCAAAATCCAGGGAAATAATAAATAGATAAATAAATGTTTTATTCTAGTGTTAAAAAAAGGATTTTAACATGAGAGAAGCCAGTTTACAGGCTTCATCACGTTGATACATGTCAAAATGTCTACAAGACTTGAGCCCTGAGTGGTACTGATGAAATGTCATTAAACTCAATTTTAGAAAACTGCCGAAGGTCCTGCTAGTTATGAAATAAACGAGGAAATATTACTTTACAGCGTACATACGGTACTGAAGTTTAGATAATAGTAAATGTCGCCTTCATTTAACAGGCTTAACATGAGGGATACCAGTTTACAAGCACCGTCAAATTCATAACTTTTGAAAGAATCTAGTATTAAATAATTTACATATCAAGTCATTAGTGTGCATAATCTTATTGAAATTTGCTGAAATTCATGAGACGGATGTGGATTGCCATCTCCCATCACATAGATAGGTTCCATTATCAATATCAAAAGCGCGCAGTGTTCAAAGTTTGCGTTGTAACCAACCGACGTTGTTAGTCCATTCGCGTAGTTTGCTGATTAGTAATATAATAGTTTGTTACTTAGAATGATCTTCAGTTTTTAGTTTGCTGACCACAAAGGACCCAGTTATACAATCTGGAGTATCAGTGACGCATCCACAGTTATATAACCAACGTGTATGGCTATATCAATGCATATCCAGGTCACCATGTTACTTTTAAAGGTGATATAGATTAATTCTGCTGGGAATACTTGTTGTATTGGGTGAAAATAGGTGTTGAAACAGTCAATAGCCCACGGACTTCCAGCATCTTTTGTATTAGCATAGGCGGCATCAATCGAGAAGTGTATTTGATGCGTAGTAAGTTCCATATGAAAAGGTCTCTCGGTGCAGAGTACAAGAAAATGTCTAGTGTGGAGCCATTGCAGGTAAGTGACGTCCTGAGTCAATATTTTAATTGGTCTCTGGTTTAATCATCTGTTCAGATGAACAGAAACGAACAGGAATTTGGAAGCCCCTGATCTGAAAATCCCTCCCGATCACCCTATTTGATTGTATTGACATTGATTTTTACATTTTTACCCCCGTTATGGATGGCATGCCTTTGACCCCAGCCGGTGTAATGTTATTTGCCTGTTTGACTGTCTTATTTGACTTTGCACTCGGTATTTGCCTTTGTATGTTTAGGACTCATTATGAATGTTTCACTTTCCTATTATGTGACGCTGAACTGTTGTCAAGGTGATGTTGTTTTACTGCGCACGACATTTTGTTTTGGTTCAACTCACGGTTGTGCTGTGATTTGACTGTTTGTCTTTTGACTGTCTACTGGGAACGTTTGTTTGTTGATTTGATTCCTGTAGGCAGAGTTTTGATCCCTTTCGTCGGGAATATTCCTATTGACCGACAGTTACTTAACAGTTGTATTTGTTTAACCAGTTTTTACCGTGTAGTACGTATTTGCACCCGAGAACGTTTTGGACTGCATAGTTACCCAACGGCACTTCTGAGGTATTTTTGTGATTTTGACTTAACTTATTGTTGCTTTGATAGTACCACAGATTTTGTTATGAATTTAATATTGAATTACTTTAAACCGTGTCTTGATATTTTGATCCAACCTTTGACTGTGCGTCACTCGCGGAAGTTAGGAAGCCATACAGTAGAACGCAGGAACTAGTCAGATTCACGTCAGTTGGTACCGCCTAGTTATTTCCCGCGTTCAGGCCAAGACTATTGGATTCTGGCCGCTACAGCCCCAATATGTCGTCCACTTATCACTGTCCGTCAGAATGTTTGAGTCGCAAGATCTACCCTTTTTCAAGCCATGTTGAGCATCACTTATAATAATAATAATATATATATATTTCATACAACATAGGTTACATGAATGCAAACCAGTCTACAGGTTTGGTCATTTTGGTAGTGAGAAATGACTATTATGTACAATGTTAAACTATACATTAGGCACCGTTATTCATGGCATATAAGAGGTGTGTTGAAGCAGGCTCAGTTCGAAATTAGGGATTATTCGGTTATTGCTTGAATCTTCCAATATTCTTGAAGGTGGGGCAGGCAGTACAGTCATGACCTTGAGGTGTACGCGTTCGTCATAGGGTTCCGATGGCTCTCCCTTTTCCAAGTACTCCCCAACATGGTCGTCTGCTAGGCTGTTCATTACTTTTGACTCCACCGGTAGAAGGGGCATGGGCCGAGAGCATTTTGGGTTCTGTCCGTCTCCTCCTTTGGTGATGGGGGACAGAATGGTACGTTTCTAATCTTGTGGATGCATGTGATTGCCTAAGGAGTGTTGAAACAAATTACGCAGCAGGCTGCACAAGGCACCCGCACATCGTTTCAACACAGCCGGCCGGATGTCATAGCATCCTGGGGATTTCCCAGCGGGGAGCTTTAACTGCTTTTCGAGGACTATGGTGGGAGTTACCTTTATTCCAGGCAACTCTACTGCATTTTTTGGTGCTGAATGTTGGTCGAGCAATTAGCAGTTTTGATCAGACGTAGTCAATGGTGTGTCGAAGGCGGCGCCAAGGGCTTCGACAATCTCTAATCCAGAAAGGATGGTTTTCTGCCTGACCTCCGGTGAGAGCCATCGCCGATGTTCTCGTGCAGTCCAGCCGTTTGGGTAGTGTTGAGTAGGTTTCTCTTGAGCCTTCGGCCTGGGGTTCCCCTGTTCTGCCCAGGATTGAGAGTTGGAGCACTAACTTCTCCTGCCATAATGACCTGGTCACATCCCATGGATGTCTCTGTGGACATTAATGGTGCAGTTATATTCCACTTTTCTAGCAGGGGTTCTGTAGGCGCCCCCTACCAGGTACTCGGTGTGCCCAGCTGTAAGGGACACAAGATGGAGTCTAAGAGCCCTAAAAGTAGTTTCAGTGGCCCGTTCACTTTTAAGATGGTCACTTGCAGACACTGCCACTCCGGAACCCCTCCTTAAACCCCCTGTCTCTCCTGAACAGACACACGCCGTTTATACGAGCTTCGATGTCGCTAGCATGTGATGATAACCAAGTTTCTGTCGGGATTATGATCTTTGGAGCAAAGTAGTAACAGACAGAAGTTCCCCCACACTGCTGAAAAGGCTCTTGGAGGCGTTACTAACGGCATGTGGTGTCTCGGTGGTGGCAGACTGAAGAGGGTAGTGTGCAATGACAAAATTTGTCACAGGACGGACAGTTCCAGTGGAATGGGTCCAATCACTTTTTTTCCCACAGTGGTTTCCGGGGTTTCCATAGAGTCTAGGCTGGCTTGGATATCTTGTCTGTCGACAGTGGTGTTTACTTCGGCACTGGGCGGGCTGTCGTTTGTCAGTTTCTTTGGCCTGCTTTCAAAGCAGCGAACGTTTCCACTGATGTTACCTTTTACTGCGTACTAAATCTGCAGCACC